TTCTCATTGAAGAGTCTTGTTTGCAGTTCCTCTGCGGAAAGAGGGAGTTAAGAGGGGACCGGCTGCGATGCTTCCTCTCCTCTCTCATCCTCCGAGGCGTCAGACAATGAGCCTTTCATGGCTTCTGGATCATCACAAGCTGGGTTAGGTCACGCGTCCCTCGGTGTGAAAGCAGGGCAGCCGGGGAGGGCCGTTTCCTCCAGACATGCTTCTGGAAGAATGAGCCGCCTTCCACTTCCCCCCTCACACGCATGCCATGTGACTTCCAGCCCGTCCAGAAGGATGCATGCGAGGACCCTGTGATGTCAGCGCCAATGACGCGCAGCTCTCGGGAGAATCGGAGACTGTTGTTTAACTCTTGGCGGCCATTTCTGTCCCCCTTGTCTCCGCCCCCCCTCCTGTAATAAAGACCTGTCACCGCTTCTTTCTCTGCTTGTGCAGGGTGACTGGTCTTGTCTCCGCCCCCTCCTGTAATAAAGACCCGTCACTGCTTCTCTCTCTGCTTGTGCGGGGTGACTGGTCTTGTCTCCGCCCCCTCCTGTAATTAAGACCGCTCACTGCTGCTCTCTGCCCTTGTGCAGGGTGACTGGTCTCGTCTCCACCCCCTCCTGTAATAAAGACCGCCCACTGCTGCTCTCTCCTACAGGATGACTGGTCTTGTCTCCACCTACGACTAAATCCACGCCTCACCTAAATGGAAGCACTTGTGTGGCCGGACCCAGCTTGCTCAGGGACGAGTCTGGCACAGAGGAAGCTGCGAGACGGTCGGGTGGCTGTTGCCCAACCGTTCTGAAAGTCGCCCTTCGTTTCTAACCATTGGTAACCCTTCTACGTTGCATTTTGTTATCACAATAAGCCTTGTTGTTGTTGTTGTTGTTGTCAATAAAGATTTGTTTCAAAATGCAAGATGGCCGACTGCCCCATCCCATGCTTATAACAACAGTAAAGCGTTGCGGACACGTGGAGAGCGGACACAGAATTCACAGCAATGAGAGAGATGCAAGCGAGTCGACTCACCATCTCCAACTGCTCCTCCGTCTGCGTGCAAAAAGCAGATTATAGAGAGGAAAAGGAGAGAGAGAAAAAAAAAACAGCAAACAAAGCTTTATTAAACAGGGACAATGCTTCGTGGAGACAAAACGCACAACAAACACAGGAAGTCGCTTCAATGAAGGGAATTCATCAAAACTGGAGCAGTTGCCCACGGCAACCGATCAGCTCCTCTCTTCAGTTTGTTCAGTTAAGGTTTGAAAATGAGAGAGAGAGAAGCTGATTGGTTGCCGTAGGCAACTGCTCCAGTTTTGATAAATTCCCCCCCAATGTATTACCCGATAGATACATGGTACAAAACGCACGTCCTAAAATACCATCCCGGCCCAGAAATCTCCATCCCGGCAATGAGAAGCCCCGCCCCCAATGGAAAGCACGGCCCACACAGGGTTCAAGTGCATCTCCAACCAACATTTGTGGACACAGTAGGGGGAAGAGCTTAGATACCCTCTGGGGCTGGTTTTGTTGTTTGTGTCCCATTTGGGAGAATTTCTCTCACCTTCCTGTCCTGGAGGCTCAACGGGAAGTGAGTGGAAGCCGTGGCCACTGCTTGGCCTTATAAGGGTCATTGCCTTGCCACGGTGCTGGTCATTACTTTGTAGTCGTGGCCCAGTGCACGGCCCTGATGCGAGATTGTAGTAGGGACCTACAGATTTAAGGGCCGTGGCCAGTCCTTGGTTGTAGTGCTGGTCAGTCTTTGGATCTAGTGGTCATCAAACCCTTGGTGTCCAGAGCTGGATGGTCACCACGTCCAGGGTTGATAGCCTCCTGTGTCCAGTGGGCATGGCCTATGTCCATGTTGATATTGGATAGTCCACTGATGTCCATGTCTCTAGTACTTCTCTCCAGTGGTGGCCCAAGTCTAAATACGGCCACTATTCCTGTGCCTAATAGCCCATTACCCCCGGCCCCTCACTCCAGGCCCATGCCATGCTTCTTTCCCGTGTCAAGTAGCAACCTATTGTACAGGCCACGTCCAGTGTTGTTTACTTCCTGTGTCTGGTGGTCATTACCTACGTCCGTGTCTCTAGTGGGTATTCATGTCTCTAGGGCTCAGTGCTCATCTTCAGTGGTAGCCCACGTCTAAAAACAGCCATTATGCCTGTGTCCAATGGTTGATTACCCCCCGGCCCATTACTCCAGCCCCACTCCATGCCTCTTTCCTGTGCCAAGTTGCAACAGGACCTCTCTGACGGGACCAGAGCAATACACAAACAGGAGCAGAGCCAGAGCAGATGGTGATGGAGTCCATATCTGACCACTCACCTCCACCGGGGGCCTAAAATCAAGTCAGAACTTCAGTGGACTCAATAGGCAGACTCTGCCAAACTGGTCTGTAATGGGTTATATTGGTGAGGGACTGGGCCACTGTTAATGGCTAGTAGCACTGGGACTGCAGGCCCCGAATATGGTAGAGGAGCAGGTAAGGTATAGCACTGGGTCTACTAACATTGAGCACGGGGTGTCTTCACATGGACCAAAGTAACTTTACATGGACCAAGGGCCACAAAGACCAATACCCATTGGGGCCAACCTTGCAGGCCCCCCTGAACATGGTGATATGAGGAGGAGCAGGTAAGGTATAGCACTGGGTCCACACGGGGTGTCTTCACATGGACCATATGGCACCAAAGTAACTTCACATGGACCCAGTGCCATAAAGAATAATACCCACTTGGGCCAACCTTGCAGGCCCCCCCCCCCCGAACATGGTAGAGGAGCAGGGAAGGTATAGCACTGGGTCCACATGGGGTGTCTTTACATGGACCATATGGCACCAAAGTAGCTTCACATGGACCCAGTGCCACAAAGACCAATACCCGCTGGGGCCAACCTTGTCCTATCACCTTCTCCTTTGAAGAGCGGCAAATACAAAATGGTGCCCGTTCACCGGGCTCGGTACTCACCATATGGTGCATTAATCCTTTGCCGCTCTGTGAGGTGATGACGCGCAGGTCGGGTTTGCGACTGTTGTTGCCGAGCTGATTGTTCTGGGAGGGAGGCGGAGGGCTCTTGGCCGGGATGACCTTGCCCATGCTGTTGCCGTTGGATACCGGCATGAGGCCCGGAGAGGCCCGTGCGCTGATGTACCCGTTGCCTAAATTAGAAGAGGGAGAACCATATTCAGACAATGTGCCACAGAGATCGCACGGGGGATGAGAGTGGCTCTCGGGTAGGTCAATTAGGAAAATCAAATAAATCGATATAAACTTTATTTGTATTGTCCGTGAGCGGACGGACCTAACTAGTGTCATACAGAACAGGAAGTGAGGAACAATCCACCCCCCCCCTCCCCCATAGGGGACACAGGTAGACATACAGAACAATAATATTATTAGCATAGTATGGAAGGCTTAGAACCTCTGTCAGATTTCAGATAGGTGTCCCCTCACTTCCTGTAAGGGTGATGGGTGGAAGAACAGGAAGTGAGGATAAATCCCTTCATAGGGGACACACTACAATAATAGTATAGCATGGAAGGGTGTCCCCTCACTTGCTGTAAGGGTGATGGGTGGAAGAACAGGAAGTGAGGAGAAATCCCTTCATAGGGGACACAGTACAATAATAGTATTAGTATGGAAGGGTGTCTCCTCACTTGCTGTAAGAGTGATGGGTGGAAGAACAGGAAGTGAGAACTCCCCCCATAGGGGACACAGATAGACATACAGTACAATAATAGTATAGTATGGAAGGATGTCCCCTCACTTCCTGTCAGAGTGATGGGTGGAAGAACAGGAAGTGAGGAGAGATCCCCTCATAGGGGACACACAGTACAAGAATAGTATTAGTATAGTATGGAACGGTGTCCCCTCACTTCCTGTAAGAGTGATGGGTGGAAGAACAGGAAGTGAGAACTCCCCCCATAGGGGACACAGGTAGACATACAGTACAATAACAGTATAGTATGGAAGGGTGTCTCCTCACTTCCTGTAAGGGTGATGGGTGGAAGAACAGGAAGTGAGGAGAAATCTCCTATTCGGAGACCTGACCTGGTCTAAATCGCTAACTGTACCCAAGACTTGAAAAGACTTTTCACTTTAAGGATGATAACTTTCAACGAGGGGCCACGTATCAAGGACGACTGACATGGAAAACCTTTCTGCTAATGGTCAGGGTTCCAAAATGGCTGCCGCCACAGGCCGGGTACGTAGAAGTGCCATCATGAAAGGAAGAAGCGTCTGCCTATGAGACGTCATGGCCGTGTCAGGAGCGGGCCCGGGGCTCGGTGTAAGGAGCGGGGGGGGCCCGTCTCCCTCGCAGCCCTCCAACGCGAACCATGCTCCAGTTTCCTGAAGCGGGCAGAAAGAATGCCGAGAATGCCGGGAATGCCGGGTGACGTCAATTCTGACATTCATAGAACTAGCCCGGCCGGAATCTGGAACAGCTGATGAGGATATAGGCCGCAGCTCTGCTCTCGTACTCACGGACTAGGCTGTGTGCAGAAGGCCGAGCCCTTGGTTACTAGACGTGGCTTGCACGCTATCACCGGCCATGTTCTGGACTACCTACATAAAGAAGGCCACAGTATGGACCATGTCCTGGACTACCGACATAAACAAGGCCACAGTACGGACCATGTTCTGGACTACCTACATAAACAAGGCCACAGTATGGACCATGTTCTGGACTACCTACATAAACAAGGCCACAGTATGGACCATGTTCTGGACTACCTACATAAACAAGGCCACAGTACGGACCATGTTCTGGACTACCTACATAAACAAGGCCACAGTACGGACCATGTTCTGGACTACCTACATAAACAAGGCCACAGTACGGACCATGTTCTGGACTACCTACATAAACAAGGCCACAGTATGGACCTCGTTCTGGACTACCGACATAAACAAGGCCACAGTATGGACCTCGTTCTGGACTACCGACATAAACAAGGCCACAGTATGGACCTCGTTCTGGACTACCGACATAAACAAGGCCACAGTATGGACCTCGTTCTGGACTACCGACATAAACAAGGCCACAGTATGGACCTCGTTCTGGACTACCGACATAAACAAGGCCACAGTATGGACCTCGTTCTGGACTACCGACATAAACAAGGCCACAGTATGGACCTCGTTCTGGACTACCGACATAAACAAGGCCACAGTATGGACCTCGTTCTGGACTACCGACATAAACAAGGCCACAGTATGGACCTCGTTCTGGACTACCGACATAAACAAGGCCACAGTATGGACCTCGTTCTGGACTACCGACATAAACAAGGCCACAGTATGGACCTCGTTCTGGACTACCGACATAAACAAGGCCACAGTATGGACCTCGTTCTGGACTACCGACATAAACAAGGCCACAGTATGGACCTCGTTCTGGACTACCGACATAAACAAGGCCACAGTATGGACCTCGTTCTGGACTACCGACATAAACAAGGCCACAGTATGGACCTCGTTCTGGACTACCGACATAAACAAGGCCACAGTATGGACCTCGTTCTGGACTACCGACATAAACAAGGCCACAGTATGGACCTCGTTCTGGACTACCGACATAAACAAGGCCACAGTATGGACCTCGTTCTGGACTACCGACATAAACAAGGCCACAGTATGGACCTCGTTCTGGACTACCGACATAAACAAGGCCACAGTATGGACCTCGTTCTGGACTACCGACATAAACAAGGCCACAGTATGGACCTCGTTCTGGACTACCGACATAAACAAGGCCACAGTATGGACCTCGTTCTGGACTACCGACATAAACAAGGCCACAGTATGGACCTCGTTCTGGACTACCGACATAAACAAGGCCACAGTATGGACCTCGTTCTGGACTACCGACATAAACAAGGCCACAGTATGGACCTCGTTCTGGACTACCGACATAAACAAGGCCACAGTATGGACCTCGTTCTGGACTACCGACATAAACAAGGCCACAGTATGGACCTCGTTCTGGACTACCGACATAAACAAGGCCACAGTATGGACCTCGTTCTGGACTACCGACATAAACAAGGCCACAGTATGGACCTCGTTCTGGACTACCGACATAAACAAGGCCACAGTATGGACCTCGTTCTGGACTACCGACATAAACAAGGCCACAGTATGGACCTCGTTCTGGACTACCGACATAAACAAGGCCACAGTATGGACCTCGTTCTGGACTACCGACATAAACAAGGCCACAGTATGGACCTCGTTCTGGACTACCGACATAAACAAGGCCACAGTATGGACCTCGTTCTGGACTACCGACATAAACAAGGCCACAGTATGGACCACGTTCTGGACTACCTACAGCAAGGGGAAGCACCGGATGGTCAAGCGTTCCTCATGAAGCAGGTCAGACGTTGTGGGCAACGTCTTCGGACCGGTTGACCGGTACGACGGGAATGCTTTGGCCCACTTCGGCAAAGCAAGGGTTGACTTTGAAGATCGTTTTCAATACAAGGAAATGTTTACGACTCGATCCACGTTGTGCACCTGACCCATCACCGGCATGCGCCGAGTTCTCCTTGCCAGGCAGAAGCTGGTGTGGCTTCCCCCGCCGCGAAAACCCGTTCGCTGCCCAGGGTGGCAAATTCAAATGACAAGTCTGAAGGGCCCCATGCCCCGTCGGTGTCCAATCTGACTTTTGGACTGTCACTGCGCGGCCCGGCTTCACAGATACTGTATATTTAGATTGTGCCGCGTGTGGCCGGCCTGAAGTAGAACTGCGTGGGATGATCTGGCAGCTTTTCTTTTTTTTTTTTTGCCATCTATGTCCCTTTCACTTCCTGTTCCGTAGCCACAACAGGAAGTGAGAGAATATCCCTCCAAAGAGAGGGAAAACCCTGGTGGTCACCAGAACTAGCGTCCCTGTTGGACAATTGCCCATCTATTCCTGTTCTGGTGAAAGCTCGCTGCCCAGCCAATCAGAAAGCCGGGTGCCGCGTCGTTAAATGGCGCCCGGCTTCCTGATTGGCCAGAAAGCCGGCTCCATGCTTTCTCGTCACCTAGTGACAAGAAAGCATGGGGACGTCTTCCCTGCTAATAGGTCATTACACGCCGCCCGACTTCCAGTGGCGTCACAAGGGGGGGTGGCGGCCCGCCCCCTGGTGCCACCATTGGAGGAGTGACACCAATATGACTGTCATTTTGGTGTCACCCCCTTATGAAATGTCGGGCACTCGGTCACGGACCGGCGTCCATCACCAAGATGGACCAGAAGACCACTGCGCGTGCGTGGTGACGTCACGGCGGGGTGTCACCCGGTCCCCGCCCCCGGCTGACACCCACCCTCGGGGACGCCTCCGCTTCCGGTACTCGAGTGCTTTTCAAGTGCACTTGAAGTGTTTCGGGCGGTTTCGGTTGGTAATCCCCATAACCGCGGCGCCATTTTCTTCCCGCGTAAGGTCTCACGAGGAAGACGGCGGTGCGCCTTCTCCGCCGAGGGCCGCGCGCTGATCCTCCAGCTATTGACATCTATAAATCGTATTGATTTCACCGACTCCGGAGCCCTGGAAACAGGCGGCGGCGGTGGCGTGACACATCCAGGCAGCGCGGCGTTGCCCGTCTTCCCGTGCTAATGGTGGCGTTTCGCCGATGACATCCATTGTGCTCGGCGGAGATAATTGGAGTGTTTTGTAGGAGACGACCTGCTAATTAACGCAGCTGTTCTGGTATCGAGCGTCCTCGTCAGTTACCGGTCCCGGTGGGTTGGGGGGGAATGTTGGAGTGTGGGCTGTTGAGGGTGGAAGCCGGGAGGGGAGACGCGCGACAAATGGGCTCTCCGTGAGCTTATTTAAAGGGGAAATTACAGTACAGGTCCTCCTGGGACTTCCAGTGCCTCCATAGTCAGTACAGGTCCTCCTTGGACTTCCAGTGCCTCCATAGTCAGTACAGATCCTCCTGGGACTTCCAGTGCCTCCATAGTCAGTACAGGTCCTCCTGGGACTTCCAGTGCCTCCATAGTCAGTACAGGTCCTCCTTGGACTTCCAGTGCCTCCATAGTCAGTACAGGTCCTCCTTGGACTTCCAGTGCCTCCATAGTCAGTACAGGTCCTCCTGGGACTTCCAGTGCCTCCATAGTCAGTACAGGTCCTCCTGGGACTTCCAGTGCCTCCATAAGACCACCCAGCTCTACGTCGCAGAATAAAACTAGACCCATCGCCAACCATCACTTCATCATCATCATCGCCGCACTGAATGATCCCGTTATGGTTTTAGCAGAAGGTCCCGCGGCCGGGCGAGCCCCGTGTACACTGGCAGCAGCGGTCTGGTCTGGAGTGCCAGAGGAGGAAGCGAGCCCGGCTGCTTTTCTCATT